TGGTGAACATGTAATAGTAGTAAAGTTGGAAGGGACCTTGGAGGTCATCTAGTCCAACCCCCTGCTCAGGCAGGAAACCCTAGCACTGAAACTTCTCAAAAAGAAAGTTCAGAAGTACAAACCTATCTAAAAATGAATTTTTTTACTTGAAATGATTTCCCTGCTTTGGAAATAGGGGAGATTGGTTGCAGTTGCTTAACTGCACAAGCAAAGTTATATCAAAGGTGTCTTTAAGTGTCCTGTCCTAGGAGCGAACACCAGTACTGACCATGCATCTCATGTAAGACTGATGGGTTGGTTTCCTTTTACCAACAATTCAGAAATTACTGGCTAAAAAAAAAAACATGATGTAAATCAGTATTTCTCAAACTTGGCAACTTTAAGGCGTGTGGACTTCAACTCCCAAAATTCCCCAGCCAAAATTTGCTTTGCTGGCTGGGGGGATTCTAGTAATTGAAGTCCACATGCCTTGAAGTTGCCAAGGTTGAGAAACGCTGATATAAATAAAAGAAGATCTAAACCTCACTTATCAAATTTAATAAGAAGGTCACTGGAAGGAGAAGGAAACGAGACAAATATTTCCAAACTAACATTTAACACTGAAGTCTGATGAAGTTTCTTATCAGAGAAGGGACAGGGGGACAATGCTAAATGTGATGTTTTTGATACCTGCCATTCCCCCAAATTATTTCACTTCCTTCTTCTTCTTCTTCTTGTGCCATCTCCGTTACCGGACATTGGTGATCATGTTCGCGATCCTGTTTTTATCAGCAGTCGCACGAAAAAGTGCTGCTGAGTTTTGTCCAAACCAGTCCCTTAGACTTTGAAGCCATGATCTTCTTCTTTTGCCTGGACCTCATTTGCCTTCAATCCTTCCCTGGAGGATTAAATGGAGTATGCCGTATTTTTCTGGGTGTCGCATCACATATCTGATATATTCTAATTTTCCTTTTTTAATTGTTTTGATGATTTCCCTTGGCTTTCCCAGGTGGCTTATCCCCTCCTCATTTCTGATCTTGTCAACCCAGCTTATATGTAACAGCCACCTGTAAATCCACATTTCAAATGCTTCTCGTCTCTTCAGGTGGCCTTATGTCAGAGACCAACTCTCTACTCCATAGAGCAGGATAGAAAAAATATAGCATCTGATAAGGCTGATTTTCAGTCTCAGACTTATGTCATGACTGCAGAAGACCTTCCAACCATTGCAATTTCCCCAATGAATCCAGCTATGAAATACCAAAAATAAAGGGGAAGACATATTGAAGAATTAACTTGTGTGTGTGTGTGTGTGAGAGAGAGAGGGGGGGAGGGAGGGAGGGAGGGAGGGAGAGAGAAAGAGAGAGAGAGAGAGGGAGGGAGGGAGGGAGGGAGAAAGAGAGAGAGAGGGAGGGGGAGAGAGAGAGAGAGAGAGAGAGAGAGAATATCTAGGGAAGGATCAGAAGAGACATCGGAAGATAAAATAATCGGGGTTTTTTTTTTTTTGCATTATTTGCTTCCTTGCTCAATCTTGTTTTGTTAATCAAAATCTCAACAGAAGATTGCAAGGATGGAGTTTCAGATAAAACTGTGTTATAGAATAAGCAGAGGATAGAACAGCTTTGAAGGGGAAAAAAAAATCAGTTTTACCATCTAAAGAACTTCTCCTCCCCCTCCCCCCATTCCTTCGGTCTAAAATTAGCTAATTGTGCCACTGAATCTACAGCACTTGATTTGCTTCAAGTCTGTATTTAACATTTCACAAGTATGAATAGAACTAGCCTAGGGGAAAAAAATATGCCCGTTTTCCAAGTGATAAGCCCAGTTAGGGGATAGCAGGCTGATTATAAAACACTTGAAACTGGATCTATTAATAGATGGTTTATTAGTGATTTGTTTTTATGGGCAGTCCTCCAATTATTACACAATTGGGACCATAGCTGGATTCCCCCATTGACTATGCTTCTTGGTTGAAGTGCCCAAATTTTGATCACATGATCATGGGAATGCTGCGATGGTCGTTAAGTACGAGGACCAATTATAAGTAACTTAGCAATCGAACATTTTCAGTGCAGCTGTAACTTTTATTGTTTGCTAAACAAATGGTTGTAAGTCAAGGACTACCTAGAGTTGTACAGACAGTCCTCGATTTATGACCACAAATGAGCCCAAATTTTCTGTTGCTAAGTGAAACATTTGTTAAGTGAATTTTGCCCCATTTTGCGACCTTTCAAGCCAGAGTTGCTAAGTGAATGACTGCAGTTGTTAAATTAGTATCCCAGTTGTTAAGTGAAACCGGCTTCTCCATTGACTTTGCTTGTCAGAGGATCGCAACAGGGGATCACATGATCCTGGGACACAGCAAAGGTCATAAATATGAACCAATTGCCAAACATCTGAATTTTTGTCTCATGACTACAGGGATGGTGCAAAGGTTGTAACTCTGAAAACTGGTCATAAGTTACTTTTTTTTTACTGCAGTTGTAATTTTGAACAGTCGCTAAATGAACTGTTGTAAGTCAAAGACTACCTGTTGATCATTCATCAGTGGTGAGAGGCCACAGGAAATCCCAAGTTGTAAGCCAGACTGGAAAGTCAAAAGCCCATCCAAGGAGAACCCGGTGTCAAGCACTCCTCTGCTGCTGGCTAAAAAATACAGATGGTCCTCAATTTATGACCGGCCACTTAGCCACTATTTGAAGTTATGATGGATATCCCACAGCTGCTTACAACTCAATTTTGAAATGACAGCTGCACCCCCCTCATGGTCACATGATCACATATTGGGTGCTCACCTTTAGGGCCATTTACAGCATCCCATGGTCACATAATCTTAATTTGTTTTTACTTTTTTTTTTTTTTGGTTTCTGATATTTATTTTCAGTTTCCAGCAAAAAAAAAAAAAAAAACACCCATTGGGTAAAACAGATTCACTTAACAACTCTAACATATGCTTAGCGACCACCTGCAAAAAATGCCCCAAAATTTGTACCAGTCACACAGTGGCCTGTCTAATAACCGCAATGCCTTATCACTGTAATTCCAGTCACGATTAGGGTCATAAGTTAAGGTCTGCCTATAGTTCCAAAAACATGTATAACACATGTATAGCAAGATTAATAGTGCTTAGAAGACTTATATACCGTTTCATAGTGCTTTACAGCCTTCTCTAAGCGGTTTACAAAGTCAGCATATTGTCCCCAGTGATCTGGCTCCTCATTTTACTGACCTCAAAAGGATGGAAGTCTGAGTCAAGCTTGAGCTGGTCAGCATCAAATTCTTGGCAGTGGGCAGAGTTAGCCTCAACTTACAACTATTAGTTTAGTGGCTGTTTTAAGTTACAACAGCACTGAAAAAAGTGCCTTGTGACCGTTTTTCACACTTGTGACAGTTGCAGCACCCCAATGGACATGTGATCAGCCTTGGCATCTGACTCATATTTATGACGGTTGCAGTGTCCCAGGATCACATGATCACCTTTTGCAGCCTTCTGACAAGCAAAGTCAATGGGGAAGCCAGATTCACTTAACAACCGTGTTACTGATTTAACAACTGCAGCAATTCACTTAACAACCTTGGCAAGAAAGGTCGTAAAATGGGGCAAAACTCACTTAACAGCTGTCTCAATTAGCAACAGAAATTTTGGGCTCAATTGCGATTGTAGGTCAAGGACTACCTGTACTGCATTCTAACCAGTGTGCCACCAACAGGTTCTATATATGTTTCGGTCTCTGTTAAAAACCTGACCCAATTGCTGAGGGAAAAGCCAGTTTTATAGCCTTCCGGAAGGCCAGCAATTTTGCCCACAACAACCCTGTGAGGTAGACAAAACTGAGAGAGTGTAGGTATTACATCTGTGGGCCAGCTCCCTCTTATTTTAATCCTAAAGCGATCTTATGAAGTAAGCTGACTTGAGAGAAACTGATCGATCCAAAATCCCACAACAATGAGCTCCGCTTTTTAAAATCCTTCGTTATATATTTTTTTAAAAAACTAGCAGTATAAGCTTGCTACTTATGTCTCCTGAAGAAAAGAAATGAAGATTCCTCTGTGGTGCTGAGGGAGTTTCCCTTAGATTATTGAGATAAGATGAATTAAAACCGAGGTCCTAACCCCGCTATATAGGATTTTAGTCAGTCCCTGTTTGAAATACTGGATCCAGTTCTGGAGACCTCACTTTAAAAAGATATTGATAAGATTTTGTCCAGAGATGGGGTACAAAATGATGCAAGGCCTGAGGGACAAAATATATTAGGAGAGATTGGAGGAACTGAATACATACAACCTGGAGGACAATACATATTGGACATTGGACTGGTTGTCCAATCTCTTCTTAAAAGTCTCCAGTGATGGAGCACCCAAAACATCTGAAGCAAGCTGTTCTACTGATTAATTGTTCTAATTGTCAAGACATTTACCCTTATTTCTTGGTTCTCTCCTTGATTAGTTTCCATCCATTGCTTCTTGTCTTGCCTTTGGGTGTATTGGAGAATAGCTTCACTCCCTCTTCATTGTGGCAGCCCCTGAGATATTGGAACACTGCTATCATGTCCCCCCTCGTCCTTCTCTTTGTTAAACTAGACATATTCAATTCCAGCAACTGTTCTTCCTACGTTTTAGCTCCCAGTCCCCTAATAGCAATAACGATACACTTAGACATATACACTGCTTCTCCTCTTACTTCACAGAAATGACTTCACAAAAACTGTAGCAGAAACTTGGAATCAACTTCCAGCGGAGGTAATGGGTCAATTATCAGTAACTGAGTTTAAACATACTTGAGATAAAGACATGCCCATCATCCAACAAAAAAAATTAAAAATAAAATTAAAAAAATATATAGATATAAAACAAACTCAAAGGGCAGACTCAAACTCAATGGACCACTAGGTCTTTTTCTGCCATCACTTTTCTATGTTTCTCTCTTCTTGCTACCAGCCATCACCTTCACCACTATTCCACTCTATTCATAGAGAGCTGGAGGAATAGAAGGATGAACAGATTTTGGTGGTTTCACCTACCTCAAGAACAGCAAAATCTGGGCAGAGAAGGTCTCTCACACTCCGCAGCATGACGGGCTGAGTGTCCTTCGTGCTCGCAGGAACTTTCCCAGTGGCCCAGTTCCATAAACACTCCATTGTTCAAACTGCAATCTCTCCCCCAAACTAAAGGATCTGACAGCCAGTCATTAGCCTCACTTTAAACATAGGCTTTCCAGATTTAAAATGGAAAGAAAGAAAGAACCGACGTAGGAAAGCAAGCCGCTGTTCGAACAGGGCAGAATTTTCCCACCCCTGAAACCAGGAGCTGCTTGGAAAACATCGGCCTCGGAAAGACAAGCCGCTCTGGGATCTGCGGAGTCAGCAGATATTTTAAATTGTAGTCAACCGGCTATTTATGAAAAAAGGGGGGATGGTCTGGGGCTTTCCAACCTGTCTGGAAGATTTATTTTTGGAACTGGCTGAGCAGAAAGGGAACAAAAAAGCATCCCGATGCTGGAAAAAATAAAAGAGCAGAGCAAACGCAAAAAAGGGCTGATGGTCTGGAAAGCAGCTCTCTTTGCACTTTCCCAGCTGAAGATGATGATGTTATTCATTCGGCTGAGTCCAACTTTTGGAAATTCTACGGGCCAAGTTTCTCCACTTCTTCCTTGCACTTTTGAATTTTTCTATGCTCTGGCCGGTGTCAGCTTTGATGCTGTCCAGCTACCGTGTTCTTTTACTGCTTGGTTTCCTTTTACCGCTAAATCTTCCAAACATAATTGCTTTCTCCAGTGAATTCCCCCCACATGACGTGGCAAACTAAGTGAGACACCGTTTAGTGGTTTTGCCTTCTAGTGACATGTCTGGTCTTCTGAACCTGCTCTCGGGGATATTTGCAAGAGGGTCTGCACTGTTAGTTAAAGAAGTGGAGATTGACCCGGAGCAAACACTGACTGGACATGGGTGGCGAAAGTCCTTCCCTGAGAAACGGGACGCCCCAAAACTATGACCAGTACCCAAGGCCCACAGCAGCGCTCAGCTGCTTGCTTCAAATGTGGAAAGGAGGGGAATCGCACAGCCGAGTGCAGAGCCAGCCATGCAGGGAAGAAACCAACTCTTGAGCCCACAAAGAAACCCACCAAGCCACCGCCATGGACCTGGGAAATGGCCCTAGAGGGAGTACAAGTCGTAGATGTCTCTGGACATTCTTAGTCATCCAGGTCATGGTTGTCCCAATGCAGATGGACTGCTGAATCTTGTCCAACCAATCCAGGACAAGATTGAGCTGTCCACCTGCATTTAAAAGACAAAGGCCACTCTTTGGAAGACAGCAAAGTCCACATTTTGGGCAGAGAGAATGGTTGGTTTGAAAGAGGGGTCAAAGAGACCACCTATGTCAACACTGAACAGCCCTCTCTCAACAGAGGGGGAGGGATCCAACATCAACTATCTCCAGTCTACAACGCTGTCCTTTCAGCAGTTCCAAGAAGGCTCCACACCCATTTGCACCACTCAGGAGTTCCTGAGGAGACAAACAAACCTCCACATGGCCTCAATGACTTTCTAAAAGAAGGCAAATGACCAGCTGTCTTCAAGGAGTATGGATCCTTCCATTCCCCACCATCCAGTCAAGAGCTGAAGAAGCTTCTTGGATGAGAAGCGAAACGTCTTCAAAGAAAAACAAGAAAGTCCAATCGCCTCCTGAAAAAACACCTTTGGGCAAGTCATAGAGTTCTCCCCACCCTCCATGGGTGGCGACGGAACTCTGACCAACCCAGCGGAGGGCCCTGGAAAAACCCGATACCAACTCCGATGGGAGATAGCTAAAGAGACCAGTGTGAAGACACACAGAGCTTTCTAAAACGGACATGCATAGAAAATGGGTCAAAAGTAAAAAAAGAAAAAAGCAGTCAAGAAATATGCTGCAGACCAACACTTAGAAAGCCTTGGAAAAAGATACTCAGATGTGACTATGCCCTCAAATATCAGAAATGTGCAAGTCATGGTTTTCCCTGTAATGTTCTCTGAAAAAGAAAGTTGGACTTTGAAGGAGCAGGATGGGAAGAGTACAGGTAGTCCTCGACTTAAAAAGGTTTGTTTAGTGACTGTTCAAAGTTACAACAGCACTGAAAAAAGTGACTTGTGACCATTTTTCACACAACCGTTGCGGCAGCCCCATGGTCAAGTGATCAAAATCCAGAACTTGGCAACTGATATATATAATTAGTTAATTTGGTAAACAGTGTGTTGTCTGGGTTTCTATTCACAAACAATCAATAACAACTAGTTTCTATAATTCCATAATCCACATAGTAGCTTTCCTTGATTTTCTCCTCTTCCAATAATATTCTCATTTATCAACCTGAAATTAGTACATTTCTTAGTATTTTAAAAGATAACAATTGAATATAAACATTTTTCTAGTATTTCTGCACGTATTGCTAACTTAATAACTGCAGTGATTCACTTAACAACTGTAGCAAGAAAGGTCATAAAATGGGGCAAAACTGACTTAGCATCTGTCTTGCTTAGCAACGGAAAGTTTGGGCTCAATCGTGGTCTTAAGTTGAGGACTACCTGTATTGAGGCCTTTGAACTTTGGTGTTGGAGAAGACTCCATGGACCGCATTATGGACAGTCAAGAAAACAAACCGATAGATCATTGAACAAATGTAATGGAATGTGGGAAGACCTTGGGAGACAGTAAGGCTGATGTCAGCCTCCTAAAATAGTCCAGACAGGAAGCGTCCCCAGAACTAAATATATTTTAGAGTAAGTTTGCATTAACAGAAACTTGCAACTCTGAAAATACTTTTCTCCTCTGTTGTCTTTCCAGCCCAAGATACTACAAGGGGTCCCTTCTGAGATTTTTGCCAGGACCGTATTCCTGTTGGCGGGTCTGAGTTGCCTTTTATCAGCGCGTTCCCCAGAATCATTCCCATTACAACAGATCAACCCAGAGTACTCAGTTGAGGTACAAAAGTTCTACCTCAAATTATTCTATTTTGGACACATTAGGCAAAGACCCAACTCTCTGAAGAGGTGAAAGGAAAAAACATACAAACCAGAATGACCAGCCACAAGGTTGATGGATTCAGTTACAGCACAGTGGGTACACCATTAGAAGACTCAAAATATCTGGATAACAACAACAACAATAATAACAACAACAACAACAACAATAAAGTTGGAAGGGATCTTGGAGGTCATCTAGTCCAACCTCCTGCTCAGGCAGGAAACCCTATACCATTTCAGACAAATGGCTGTCCAGTCTCTTCTTAAAAACTTCCAGTGTACTTTTTGGATTAAGATTTGGTGGAATATTCAAAAGGTTTTTAAAAGAAAGATAAAGTTTACTCCGCAATTATTTTTGTTGGGTATTATTGTAGATTTTGATGTTAAAGAAATTAGTTTGATGTTGAATCTTATAACAACTGCAAGAATATTAGTGGGGCAATATTGGAAGAAAAACTCACTGCCTACCTTGGAAGAATGGATACTTAAGGTGTCTAATTTAGCAGAAATGGCGAAAATCTCCGCCTATTTGAAGGATCAATCATTTACTCCAAATTGTAGCCTCTTTACCTTGAAAGCCCCTCTGTGGGTCACAATGGTCTGAGCTATAGCAGCATCATCATCAACAGGCAGCTGTTGATATGCCTGAGCTAGGTCAAGCTTTGCAAAAACACACCCCCCCCCCTTGAGGGAGGCCAGGATATGACTGACCACAGGAACAGGATAGGCATGTTGCTGCAATGCCTTATTCAGGGTGCATTTGTAATCAGCACAGATGCGAATGTCCCCATTTGCCTTGAGAGGCGTGACAATGGGGGTCTCCCAGGGACTGGAGTCAACAGGTTCTAGAACTCCTTGTTGGATCAGTTTGTCCAACTCAGTGTCAATTTTACTCTTTAAAGCAAAAGGGACCCTTCTTGCTTTAATTCTAATGGGAGTGACAGTGGGGTCTAGCTTTAATGACACAGGGGGTCCTTTGAATGTGCCCAGCTGGGGGCTGAAAACATCTGCAAATTCTTTGCAGACTTCCTATAGGTCGAGTGTTTGTAGGCTGTTGAGCCCTGTGACGTGTATCCCCAAGGCCTCAAACCAATCGAGTCCTATGAGACTCGTTCGTTCACCCTCCACTACTAATAGGTCTAGTGGACCCTCAAAATCCTTATACTGTACGTTAAGGGTGGCCTCCCCCTTAACACACACTCTGTAGTTTTGAAAGTCTGTTAACACAATGTCAGAAGGCCTCAGCTTGGCCTGAATTCCACTGCCGGAACAAATCTTCCTAAATGTATGCATAGAAATGATCGAAAGTGCAGACCCTGTGTCCAGTTCCATAGTCAATGGAACCCCTTGTAGCTTCACCTTAAGTGACAGCTTTTTCTTCATGGGCTTGTGTGTGCCTGTCCTATAGATGCTTCTTCGCGAAGCGCAAAAACCCACCCTGTTCTGGCTGGGAACCCTGGTACCTTTCAGGCGCAATTCTTCCTGAGGTTGTACCTTTTGACAGCCCAGGCACACAGCTGCAATGTGTCCTTGCTTTCCGCACGCCCTGCAGATAGCGGAGCAAAACTTGCAGTCGGTTCTCTTGTGGCGACCTCCACAACCGATGCACTTGGGGAGCGCTGAAAAGCTTCCTTTTTGTTTCCCTTCCTTTGTGGGGTGGAGACGGTCCACTTCCTCATCAGGATCCTCCTCAGAGTTCCTTTGGACTTCTTCCTGGTGCACGGACGCAGCATCTGGACTGCTTCTGATCGGCCGCATGTTCTTGATGGCGCTGCCCGCTGCTTCTTCTGCGGAGATCTCTCTCAAGGCATCTTGGAAAGACAAGTCCTCCTTGGCAAAAAGTCTCTGTTGTAACTCTCTATGCCTTAGTCCGCATACGAATCTGTCCCTCAGTCGTTCTTCGAGGTCCTTGAACTCGCAATGTTTGGCGGCTTTCCTCAATGCGGCGATGTACTCCTTGGCCGGTTCTCCGGGTCGTTGATCCCTCTGCTCGAAGGTGTGGCGCCACGCGATGACGGACATCTTAGGCTGGAAGTGCTCCTTCAGTAGCTTCTTTAGATCTGCGTAGCTGACAGACTCTAGAGGAACAGGTGCTGCAAGGTTCTCAGCGATTTCGAATGCGTCTTGACCGCAAACGCACAGCAGGGTGGCAGCCTTTAAACTATCTTCCCTTACTTGGTTCACTTTGAGGTAGTTTTCCACCCTGGCTACGTAGGACTCCCACCTCTCTGGATGTGAGACGTCGAATTCCGAAAGCCTTCCAATTTTTGCCATTTTTGTAGAAGGAAGGGTCTATCAGCCAGCCTACCCCCGAATGCATGCTGGATGGGCAGGTAGCTGCCGAGTCAACGCCGTTCCTTCCGCTCAGGACTCACTCGGGTAAGCTTACACCTTTTCATTGATGTAAGGCAATCCCATCCTCGTCGCCAGTGTTGAGTCCTTCGCGAAATGGCAAGACACGAGAAGCAGTTGTAGTTCTCAGGAACTCTTTATTCTTTAGTTCAGGTTACAGTTGGAAGACGCCAGCAACGCCCAAAACTCCTGGCCTCTTATATATGCCATTCCCGGGTCAATCTGCAACTTTTGGCGCACCAGCACTTGCGCATGCGCACAAGCCTGGCGACAGCCTGTCTGGTCCCGGGCAACTTGCACCTGCCCGGGACCGTTTGCAATGCCCCGAGCCTGCTTGCACAGGCTCAGGACATAACAAGTTCCCAAATGGTTGTAAGTTGAGGACCACCTCTATGGTCACTAAGAACAGACCTCAACTTGAGAGCACATAATCAATCCATCAATTGAAAAAAGGGCATGTAAACAAAGACGGATACAAGAAAATGACCAGAAATTGTAGAGATTGAGCTGAGGCCTGCAAGAAATGTCTCAAACAACAACAACAATTATCAGTTACAGAAGGAAAGGCAAAGAGATTTTAGAAAGGGGTACATTGGTAATGGATGACAGCAAGAAGGCAGAGTGCGGTAGCTCACATTTTTAATCTCTCTTTTCTGAGGAGAAATGAAACTGTGGTTGGCCATTGTTGTGTGCCTAGTGGGAGGAGCTGCAGCTCAGAACGCATAAAAGAACTCTTAGCTAATTTAATCAAATGCCCGTCTTGAGGGCCAGATGGTTACATCATAGTGTACTGAAGGAACTAGCAGAAATGC